CTGAAGTTTTCGTTCTAATTAGCTAATAACTTATATTTCTATTGATTGATTTGGATATTTTTTTTTCTCATATTATTTCTTCCTAATGATCTAACATCAATTAGGACTGGATACTTCATTAGCAAAACTAAGTCATTAGAGATGCATTACAAGAAAACATTGTTTTTTTCTTTGAGTGACATGTATGAAAAAAACAAAACAAGAGAAAAAACATGTAGATAATCTAGGCTATAGGTCGTTGAATGCTCTAGAAAAGCATGCACTGAGTTTGAACTCTATTTATTTCTATAGAATCACATAAATTCGATGTTAACTCTTCCTATGATAAAGTCTCTGACATAGACATAACGAGAAAAAAAATTGACGAAACGAACTTTTTCCTTATTAGCTTCGTTTTGGAAGAAAAAAAAATACAAGGATTCTTATGAGAAAGGTCATTGTAGTCACTTCGTACAATGATAATTTAAAGATTGTTTACTGTGTTACTCTTCAATAAGTTGTTCAATTTAGCTCAAATGTTTTTAATTAAATATAAGAACATCATGCTCTTGAAAATTGTTTTTCTTTTCTAACAGAATACTTTCACTTAGCAAACTACAACAAGCAAATCTAAATGTATTGTAGACTGTTGTCAACTACTTATTTTTTTTTTATATTCAACAAGTAAAGCTAATTTAATCAATAAATTAAACTAAATTGAATTATACGTGTATTTTCCTTAATATTCGATAAACCTATTTGGATATTTTTTCCGCATTCTATAGACATTGAATATAATAGAACGATTTCTCTATTCAAACATTGTTTAGATCTATTTCCTATTTTCCATACTAATCATATTAAAAAGTTACAATGTAGTCAAATAGTTCCTGTGTTTTTTGCTCTTCATTTTTTCCTATGAACATATAAATATGTATGTTACTTTGTATTTTCATGTGTTTAAAAATAAAACAGGAAACGATAATTAATCTTAACAATGTCATTAAAAGAAAATTTCTAATAATACCTCCATATAGGAAAAACCTTATTTTCCTCTAGTTTCCTAAAAAAGGAAACAGCTGTCCCCCTACGTGCATACACACCGGATTTGTCTGGGGCAAAGATTTTATAGACAGTAACAAACACTTCCAGGAACGTATAAATGAATTAATCATAATATTAAAAAAAAAAAAAAGAATCTTATAATTTCATAGTATAACGTACTTTATATTTCATTGTTTAAAAAATTCAATAGAAAAGAAAAAAAGAAATATTGTTAATTTATTAAATCATAACCCATAATTTATTTGTTTTTGTTTAAAGATGCATTACTTCGTTCATTATCATTTGATGCTAATCCAGTTGATAGTGAAAGAGTTAAATTAAAAATGCATCAATATGAAGAAGATATGGCAGAATTAACACGTCAACGTTTAGCTGTTTATCGTGAACGTTTAGAAGATTCAAAAAAACAATTAGATATTAAAATTGATGAATTAGAATTAAAAAAGTCTACACTTGAACAAAAAACATCACATTATTCAACACTTGAATATACACCACGTGTTGATAATATAAAACATTCAAAATCATTTTTAAGTACAAGCGCTGAAAATTTATCTAATATGCCTTTACAAGATAGTATATCCAGTCATCCACATTTACTTGATATATCATTTTTAACATCAACACCATCAAATCAAACAATTGGTCTTCCACCACGTTATCCTCGTTCACCACGTCTTCCTCAACAATATCAACCATCAGACACATATAGAACTGTTTATCGTCCTCAACCATGTTATCCATCAACAACAACAAATGATCAACGTTATGATTATCCACGTTATAGAACAACATCATATGTAACACCAAATGGTAATTTATCGGGTTTACAAGGTTTAAGTAAAAGTCAACAAGCTATACTAGATGAAACAGATAAATTAGTTAAAGATTCACAAGAATTTCATAATGAATCAGCATCACAATTTGAACGTGCAAGAGAAAGTTTATTATCAAGGTAAATAATAATATTGATTCTTTTGACTTTTTTTTATTCAAATTTCAATATAATAAAAATTTTTCAGTACTTAATCTCAACAGGTAATTGATTATACACTCTTTTCATTTTTGCATGAACAAATGAATGAATGAATGAATGAATGAATAAATAAAATATGCTCACTAGCATGAGATTTTAAAAAAAAACAAAAACACACTCTAACGATTAAATATCCTTTTTGCATTTTTCTAGTGAAGCATCAATTCGATTAGCACGAGCGAATATGGCTGCATCACGTTTTTCACCTAATTCAAATTATTTACCAAATGATGTTACACTTGCGGAATTATTTAAATATGAACAGTCATTAGCTAAAGAAACAGCAAAAAATACTCGAGCATATTCATCTCTATCAACAAGTGCGGAATCTTAGCATTTAACAATTTGTCTATATGTATAGTCCTTGATTGATTTCTATATGTTTTTATGCCGTCCATTTGACGAAAATATCCGCGCGCACACGTATATATATATACATATATATCTGCTGGTGCTGTCCTAGCTCAGTTTTTTTTTTTCAATGTATGTGTAGCTTTGTTGTTCTTTTTGCTATTGTTGTTGTTATTATGCAACATGTTTTCTTGTGTGCGTGTGTTTGTACTGGCTTTTCTTTTTTTCTTTTTTTTGAAAGCTCAACATTTCTTTTGCCTATTTTTGAGATTTGTATGAAGAAAAAAACAAAATAAATGAATAATATCACTGTCATCAGTATGATAAAATTTGTCGCTTTTTTCTATCACATGCATAAAAAATACGATTTTCTGGTCGTATGAACAAATCTATTCAGCTTTGTTTTTTTTTGTAGAGGGACTAATATCATCATTAAACAAAATAGTAGCATGAACGTGCATATTCTTGAAAAAAAAATAGAAAAAGGAGATGGAAAATCCTGTTTGCATTTTTATGCGCACGGTCGGTCACTAGCTTTTTCTATTTTTTACGATCCATGTATGGTGCCGTACATCCGTTTTCCACGCATCTTGCCTTTCTTAGTTTTTCTCTTTCTTTTTTTACTTTTGGGTCTCTTTTTTTTCCTCCTTCAATTTTTCTTTCATAATTAAAATGTTTCTCTTACTTTTATGAGCATAAGAAAAGGCAAACGCATCAACGCCTCCATGGTAAAGCAACAGCCGTCGAATAACATAGGTAACCGACGTTGTCGCTTCTACTGCAACAAGAATGCTGATGAGCATAAAAAATCATATTTTCTCGTTCTACTCCTTTCTCTCTCTCTCTCTCTCTCTTATGGAATCCTTCTCGCATGATCAACATTATGACTGCCATACAGATCTCAGTTGAACGTCATTTCAGTGAAATACAAGATAGATAATAGTTCTTACGAAGCGGTGCTATAATACCGCCTACTCAAGTCTTCCTATTTATTACTGATCATCTTTCTCTGTAAATTAATTGTAAGCTCTATTTGTTTTATAAAACTTGTAATTATGCAAGTTATTTATTCACATAGAAAGACGAAACATATTCGTTAATATATATAGTTCATGCATATATATTGAAAATGCCTGGACGAAAAATTCGTGTGAGTTCCTGTTCATCTTTATATATTATTGGTACTTCACTTACAAATCCAGGAACAAAAAATATGAAAGGTAAAAATAGTACATTATGAATCGTCATAATTATAATATGTTTTTCATTTGATAAGGAATCTTAATGTTACTTTAAGATGATATTCATATATATATATATATATTGAAGTTCACTTTGAAATATCTTAAAGTTGACTAGTTGCTTTTGCAAGGCAACTCAATTCAAAGATCAAGGGCGGCAGTCATTTACACTTTATAAAAGCTTGTCAGAGAAAGACTTTTTTTCTTCAATAAGAAGAAGAATGCCTGAGGTCACGCTTCGAATATTCTTAAGGAATTGACGTCATTCATCGTCAGTTGTCATGATCATAAAATGGCTGTAGCAGTATAAAGTCTAGATAAATTACCAAACAAAAATCGAAAACTAAGACAAAAAAAGAACCTAAAGAACTAACAGTTGTTATATGCTTGTTTTCTTTGTATTTTAACAAGTCTAAAAATGATGTGTTAATGAGTCATATGTCTGATAACAGACAATGTGTTAGAACGGAAAAATGAAGGGCGTAGTTGTTTTGTTGTCATCATGGTTGTAATTCAACATAAGCGTTTGTTGTTATTCGTGCATTAAAGCGTTGAATCTATCATTATTGTCAAATAATCAATTATCGACCACGTGTATAGACCGACTAATAGACTATATGACGACTATAATATAAAGAATAAGCAATACTTATACAAGGTCATTGTTTTACATATAGAAAAATTCATGAATATAAATAGACAGAAAAGAAAAACTCAACATTTTTTGGCAATGACTAGGTTCATTAAAAAACAAAAATCGATCTAATTAGATTTTCTACCTAGATCAATGTGCATGTATATTCATTATATTCGTTAAAAATTAGTTGCATGTATGTTATTTATTGAAGAATTAGCCGTAAGGCTAATCCGATTGAAATCATTATTTTTGAATAGATAGTAGATCAATTCATCGGAAGTTGATGATATAAATACTCGTTTCGGAAAAGAAAACTAGAGAGAGAGTGAGAGAAAAGAATGAAGACTGATGATGATGATGGTGTTGTGGTTGATAATTTAGAGTATTTTCTTGCCCATGCGTTCTGTTCTTGCCTTCCTTCGTTTGCCTTCGACACATATGTGTATGTACTAGAGATGTTACTGCTTTTATTTGCTTTTAGGAACTCCGATGTTGATGAAGATGAACACATATTTCATTTCATTAACATCCGAAAAATGTTAGAGTATTCAAGGATTTCATTGACAAATAGATAAAGAAGTCTGGCTTCTACATCCTTTTTTTTAAGTAAAAGAGACATAGGCATTTGAAAAGAAAGCATGTATGTGTGAGTGTGGTGTGGATGTGTGTCTGAATGAAAACTACATAAAATATGTTACGAGTTCGTGAAAATTTTGTTCAGGTTAGATTTTATCAAAACAATAATGGTCATATTTTTATTAAATTAAATGATGGTACAATGATTGATGGTGTGATTTGTTTTCTTTTCTTTTTTTTTTCTTCTATTCTTTTTCTCTTGTTAATTATCATATTTATATGAGTTTGCATTTCTTTCTTTTAGTGCCAGGAACAACGGGCACAAAACGACATCATCATCATCATCATCATTCATCAAAAACGAACAAAACAGCAGCTGCAAGAGCAGCAGCAATGGTTAATCATGAAACTGGTAAGTTATAAAAAAAAACACCTAATTTTACTTCAGGAAAGATATAAAAAGAAAAACAATTGTTCGTGTCGATAAAAAGTAAAGATGAGAGAACAATAGAAAGAGTATAAAAAAGAAAAGAAAAATTAAAAAGTCGGAGTATTCTTTCATTACTAACATCGAATATTTGACAATATCTGGTTTATATCATGACTTTCTGCTTTAAATTCAAAAGTAAGAATTGATTAAAATCACTAAAATCTTAGGTATTAGAAAGAAAAAGAGTTTATATAATGAATATCAACTATTGTGTGTCTTTCAAAGAAGAAGGGATGTCGATTTCTGATCGATGACATTTATGACAAAAGATAAAATCTATACGATGTCTCTTACATATAAATATACATTAGCATAGTAGTCTCATATTTTCTTAGTCTAACACATCTTCTGTTTTTTTTCCTATTTCTTTCTTTCTCTATGTTAGGTATCTATCATTCGAACATGAGTTGTTTTCTATCTTCTATTTCTTCTTGCTTTATTCATATAGTATGCAGTATCTGTTGTCAGTTGTTTTCTTCGTCTATATGTCCATTAGTTAATCTAACTCGCTACAAAAGAGGACTTTCTTTTATTTGAGTCACAAAAAAACTAGCGACGACATTTTGGGTAAACAACTTTTTCTATATATATTTGTTTACTGATTAAGCACTCATTAGTAGAAAAAAATTTCTGAAAGAATTGTACATATCTACATCTGTTTTGCTTGATTATAATCGACTTGTATATAAATTTACATACACGCACATATCTATATATACTAGTATTATTATAATATCGTAATGTTATTATCAGAGAATCTGTCACCGATCTTCTCAAGCAAATCAAAATCAACCGACAGCATTGATAATGGTGGAATCAGTGCTGGAAGAATTTCACATGAAACTATTGAACACGATGTAACCAATTTATCTAATATGAATAATCTACCAACAACAAATGCATTTGAAGCATTACAAGTTAGCAGTGATAGGTAAGTAATTCTTTATCTAAATCATGTAAAACATAATAAAATTTCTTTTTTATCTTTTCTTTTTGACAACAAGACAAAGGATATTAGATTCTTAAATTTATTCTAAAACTAGAATATGTTATGCTATTTTTGCTTTATCCACTCAAGAAAGTAATTATCTATGACCTATATGTATTGCTAATTAGATAATATAATATACAAACAAGTATATCTCTTGAAAGTCACTTGCGTATGTTTGTTGAGTCATATTCTATTTTTAACGCAAACTTACTTACTTATTGTCTTGAGTGTATATTGATAACGATGAAAACATAGACTGATGTCAAGTAATCGAAGTATTATATTACATTTTCTTTCATATTTTCTTTTTCTTATCTAGATTGCGAACAATAATTGCTGCTCTTCATTGCAATATACTAATACGGAAAGCTGATCTAGTGCGTAATTTAGATTACGTTGCTAATGTTCTTGATGCTACTCATCAAGATGAAACTCGGTAAGTTTGATTGACTTTTTTTCAATCATTTTTTCGTAGAACCCCTTTACTTGAACTATCTGCAAATCCTTATATCTTATCACAGAAAAAAACAGCGATCTACTCCAGTAGCACCTAGACGGCGGTAAGCGCATGAGACATGTACGCTCATTATCGTACACTAACCACCACACAAACAGCACTTAAACCTTCCACTAACCACCATAATCACAAGTGTTAAAACAACAACAAAAAAAAAAAACAATCATAATGCTTTATTTTGATTTGCTGCACATATATAATAATCCAAATGAAAATCTTTTTTTCTTTTTATCAATAATCACATATAAACACAATGCTATTATTTTTATTCAATTGCACTTTGATTTAACATAGATTTGAATTCTAAAATCATAAGGCAGAAAAAAACACAATTTTCTTTGCCTTGAGAACATCTATCTTCCTTTCTCTCTCTATATATATATTTCCAAATACCGTAGAATAGCATCCATGCGGATATGGTATTTGGATAAGATACTTTGCTTTTCTTTTTTTGTAATAACGATCTACCGCATGATTATTTCATGGTATTTTCTATTTCTTTTTATTTGTTTTTTAATTCATACATTTATTCTAGCATGCTTTTTTTCTCTTCTTCTTTTCTATACTCAAAGACCTATTGCAATATTTTGAATAGAATTTTGTCTTTTGACACCAACTATCATCAATGATGTTAAGAACATCTTTATACTGACGTTTAATATATATATATAAAACTAAAAAAAGGAAAAACGTCGGCGATAATTGTCATGTCAGCAATAAATTTAAAACGGGAAAAAGAGAAAAACTTTTATAGCTGAATAAAAATCATAAAAAAAGACGAAGAAGTGGAAGCAAAAAATGTTCATTTTGATGTGTGCCCATTTAAGATATATATATATATATTTGTTTTTTTATTTTCTATAGACGACTTATGGAAGAAGATGATGGTGCATTATCAGAAATTGAACCAGATACTGTGCCAAATGAAGTACGAGACTGGTTAACAATGACATTTACACGATCAATGTCAACATTAAAACGACGTCCATCAGATAAACCAAGATTTAAAAGTGTTGCACAAGCTATTCGTGCAGGAATTATGGTAGACAGGTGCGTCACATATATATTCTTATTTTCTTTTATTTGACGAGATATGACGAGTCAAAAAAAGAAGAAAAAAAGGGAATTTTGATAGATCATAAATCATACATATCTATGTTAGCAAAAAAATGATTCTTTTTATTATTGTGTGTTGCAGCTGTTCCAGGTATGACTTAAGCAGTCGCTCTAACTCTAGATGCAGCCCGCATTTTTTGTCGTATACTTTAAATGTTTTTTATTCTCTTTTTCTATCGCTATATATTTCTCTTTTCCTTCTTTTCCTGTTTTCACCATACTTTTCTTCTAATCACCCTTTATCAGGATTGTAAAAATATGGACTCTACATATTAAATTAAAGGTATGCATATAACAATAATAATAATATACCAAGAAATATTTAATAAAAAAAAAACAAGGCATGATATGCCAATTTTGGTTTGAATATATGCATGTTTACCCTCCTATTTGGGTGTGTCGCTCGAATTGGCATCCATTGTTTTGTGTATGTTTTCTAGGTACCTGAGGCGCCTGTCTATCGACATTAAATTTAAGGTATTTTATTCATCATGGCTGATTATAACATTCCAATATCCTATACTATTCTTTCTTTCATCTGAGTTTCTTATATAAAATCAGACACTATGTTTTTCAATACTTTCTTTCTTTTCTTTCTTTCTTTCTTTCAAAAAGTCTATGTATGAGCTTCTTTGTCATGCACACTTGACATTCACGCATAACTATGCAAAACACACATATATATATATTCACATATACTATTTTCTTAGTAGTTACTAATATCTTTTGTTATTATTAACACACGCTAGCTAGCTATAGTACACATATACAAAAAAACAAAAAGAAAAGAAAAAAAAGACTAAAATCCCTTTAGAATTTTTCGACAAAATACTTCAACTTTAAGTGATACATTTCAACAAGTAAGTTAGTCAATAGTCAGGCAAAATAAGATAAACCTTTTGTCTTTTTTTTTTCTTCCCATGGTTTTTTGTTTGCACGAATGCAATAAATGTGCATGCTTTCAATGTTGTTTTAATATGTTAGACTATTATAGAATGAAAATTATTTATTGATCAGATATTTTCTTTTGTTTTTGTTTATACTTAGACAATCAATGAATGGACATTTGATGTATTTTCTGTTAATGAGTTTACAAATGGTCAATGTTTACGTTATGTTGGATTTGAACTTATGCAACGTTATAATTTACCAAATAAACTTCATGTAAAAAAAAACAAAAGTTTATTGTTGTTTTGAAATTTAAAATAGAATAACATTATTCTATTTATAGATTTCCATAACTGCTTTACAAAATTTTCTTGAACAAATGGAAAGTGGATATAGTAAATATCGAAATCCATATCATAATTTAATTCATGCAGCTGATGTTTTACAAACAACATATCAAATCATTTATAGTTCTGGTCTCATGGTAGAGGTTAACGCAGTTTTATTGTCTTCTTTTGCTTTGTATAGTTTTAATTTAAAAAAAAAGTCTTCATTTTTCTTCTGCTTTTTGTATAATCATGTATGGAGTTTTATTTTTTTTTTTATTATTTAGTCTAAGTATTGATACTTAAATTTATGTAGTTTTTCTTTTCTTTCGTCGTTATTAGAATTGGTTATCTGATCATGAATTATTCGCAATGTTTGTTGCTGCTATTGTGCATGATTTTGAGCATACAGGAACATCAAATAATTTTCATATTCAATCAAGGTAATATTATGTTCATTTTTTTATTCATAGAAAACAAGAAACAAGTTATTCGACCCTAGTGAATGTACTGAGATGATCAGGGTAACTTACTACTAGTCTGTCACAGGAAACTTGAAGTACTTTATGGGTTTTTAGTGTTTGTGTACAATATGTTTCTAAGTGTTCAATCTACTAACTTGTTGAAAAACTTTTCATAGAATACTCTAGCAATTTAGTGGGTAGTTGTCAAGTATCTGTATACTGATGAGAGAAGTTCCCCAACTGATAAATTGCTCTTCCCTACTTGTATCTTACGATAGGAATAGCGATAAGATCTGAAACATTCGCAATAACCTACTTTCATTAAGGTCTACCTCTATGCAAAGTTTCAAGTCGAAATTCGAAAATAGGTTTTTCTGGTGTTCCTAGATTCATTTAAAACACACTGGAAAAGTGCAGCATTTCCAAAGAAATAAGTTAAGAGCACGAACTCTTTTCAGGATATTCATAGCTGATAGAGTTGTACATAATGCACATAGCCTCGACTCGAAAGTGATTTGTCAGTTTGGAGGACTCTCCTTGTCAGTACATTCGCTAGAGAATAAAGATTATCTATTGAAATACGATAGTAATTTTGGGTGAAATTATTTCTATTAGTTGCAGTACCAGGGAT